GTTAAATAACATCTTAAGTAGATTATTGTGTTGACAATATGTCACAAAAAGGAAATAAAAAAAGTCATCCAGTCAAAGCTCAATACTGACAAACAGTAAAGTTAAGCCGCAGAAGTCGTAAACTCATAAACGTACAATTAGTGAAACGGGCCAGTAAAGAAAAGATTTTACAACCGCTCTTCAGCCGGGCCACAATGAGCGCAGTATCATAACAAGGTGCTGAATAGAGTGAGAAGTCGTAAAGATGATTATTATTTCTTCTACTACCTGTTTTTACGAGTAATGTCGATGTCGCTTTCGCTCTTCGGTTCGCGTCGTTTGCGCGAACGGGACGGCGGCGCTCCGTGAAACGCATGCAATCTTGGCGTAACGAAATGATGTATAGCTGTCCCCGTCTGGCTCAGCGCGGCGCGTGCAGTCGGAGCGCACTATTGAAGGGTAAACAATGGCGCATTATCGCAAGAGCACTCGGTTCGCGCGTCCAAATGAAGTCATCAAACGAATGAATGGCTCCTGGTACTGAGACACGCTCACATTTTTATTGCGGACACCTCTTTAAACAAATACATGGCGATGAAAAGGGCGGGATGTGCACCACGGATTTTTTTATCGCACATAATTATTAGTAATCGGTCAATTTAGCGCCATAGAAGTGCCGATGCAGTCGTGAAGGACATAATTTTTACAAATTATAATCATTTTAATTGACCTCTCAAATAAAAACGTTAAATGACCACAGGAAAGCAAAAATAAAATTGGTGGCTGTAGAAAAATAGTCACTCATTCCCACATAAGATTTATTAATGAGTTTAAATAAATAAATAAATGTTTATTTCTTATGTGCATTTTCATTTTAGTCAGTAAAAATTAACTACAGTAGAAACAATCATGTAATACAAATGAGATAAAAGTGCATTTTTATTATTGAATATCTTAAGATTTTTAAAATCAGAAATCATGAAGAATGGTATGCGCTAATTTAATAAATATCCATTCACCTTAACAATTGAAGAAGCAAGTACAATCCAGTAGC